TGTTTTTTCAAATTGGGTTGTACGCATGTGCTGAGCACTGTACCTTGTTCTATTAAATACAGTAAAAAAAAAAAACATTTAAAAAAAAAAAACTTTCCCAAATCTAAATGTGATTTATCTCTTAAAAAAACACAAATTTGATTTTAAGCATAAATATTTTTCATCTATTTAAAAAATATATTATAATAATTTTATTCATGTTAAATACTTAGATTGCCTTATAGCCATTTAAAACAAAAGGTGTTTATAGCCATTACTATTGCATTTATTAATTTATTGATGGCTTATAAGACCACAGCCTATATTGTTTATAATGAATGAATTCTCTCTCTTTCAGGTTTGATTAATGTCCAGCAGTATTGTTTATTCATGTGTTTTTAGTCACAAAAAAATATATATATATATATTTTTTTTTAATTTTATTTATTTAATTATATATATATATATAATTTAAATGTTTTGCTATTGTTATTGCATTTATCATTTATTATTTCATTTATTATTCTGCATTTATTTACATTTTATGTAATTACGTTTGGCAGGGGCGAAAAAAAAATGTTTTTAAATGTGTTCCTACACACCTTGTTCTGATTTTTATTTTTGATCATTGGTTTTACAGCACTGTCCGAGAAACATGCTATTATTTGTTTTGTTTGTTTCTGATTCTGTTTTCATGTTATTAATAGTCATTTAGTACAGAAGATATTAAGCAAAAGAGAACAGATTAAGTAAGAACAATAATAATTTCCATTACATTCTAAGACTTTAATTATACACACCAATTACTGTAAAATCGGCAATTTTTTTGCACTTTAGTTGGATTAGGAATTCAAACACATTTAATATTTTATTCAACATAGAAATGAATACACATTAACATTTATGCTAGTACAGGCACTTTTTTATTTAGAATTATTTACAGAAATATTGTTATTGTGAAGTACCTCACAGTAATTTACTTTGAATTTACATACAGTATCTTACTGTAAAAGTAATGCAATTATTAGCCAGTAATTTACTGCAAATGTTTATACAACAGTTTGACAGCATAATCATGTGAATAAAAAAAGAAAATCAAACATTAAGAGTCTTAAAAATCTTTTTGTATGAGGAACTACTTTCTTCCGCCATTCATACACATCTGCAGCTGACATCAGAACAGCAGAAACCATTGCTCATTCACACACGTCTCTTCAGAGCTAGTGTTTAAATGATTCTCTAGCATAATATCTCACGTGATGACAAAACGGGTGATTTTGCTGACAGTAAGATTATAAGACTGAACGACATGAAATCTACAGAGATTTCCCAGTGTTTCTCTGTTGCAATCGAGAGAACACAATAATTAACCCTGAAAAAGCCAAAGCAAAGCAAACACTACCAGTTTCTGTGGTATAAATACAGCACTACAAAATAGAAAAGAGAGAGATCGGCTCAGAATGCCACTTACCTGATTCATAATAATTTGTTCAGCTGTAGTTTGAAATTTAAGCTGCGAAAATGCTGTTTTTCTCCACTAAGGACTTATTAAGCGTTCTCTGTCATCATCTTTGGCGGAATGTCACAATCTTTGATCTGCTCAGACAGGCTGGAGGCAACTAATGCCGACTGAATTTGATGCCCCAAAATTATGAATAGTTAAAATCCTAAATATCCTAATAAACTACATAGCTGCAATCTAAACAACTACATTCTCGACTAAAAAATCCTTAAAGTACATTGTTGTCCAAAAGCCGCAATATTTGTCAAACTGTTGAGTGTCCTCTGCTTGTTGCTGTATGTGAATGGAGTAATGCTCAAGAGTGAAGAGGCGATACTACTACTGTTATTTGCAGAATATCGCAAGGCTATCAGGCTACTGTATTTTATATATATATATAAATATATATATATATATATATATAAATTACCTTATAAACCATAAAAATATTTAGCTATTATTTTTGTATTAATTTAATAAACCCAAGCTCATTCTGGAACCATAGCCCCGCGGACGTTTCTGGAGACCGCGATTTACGTGGCCGGAGGTACGTACGGCTGCGTTTAGTTTTTCTTGAGCGAACGCTGCGGGGCGGTGTGGCGCCGCTCCAAGATCCGAAAACGCGGTCAAAATCAAAGACGAGGGCTTTTGGTTTTTTTTTTTTTCTGGACAGTTTTTGCAAACCGTCGCTTGGGTTTAGGGAAGGAGGAGGTGAAGGAGGAAGAGGAGGGCCCGAGAGGCGCTCGAGACGCGAAAAAGCGCGCACAGCGGCCTCTCGCGGATCTGCGAAAACAAAAACTGCTTGAATACGTAACTCCAGGGACGTATTTCTCGGTCCGCAGAAACGTCCGCAGGCTACGTTTCCACAATGAGCCCGGGTTGAATTTAATCTTTTGTAAATATGTTGGGGTGGGGAACGATTATTGTTAAAGTAAATAAATATCCTTTTCTTTTATATAATTAAATGCACTGTATACTTGATTTAACTCAACTAATGTTTTATTTCTTTAGATTTCTATTTTAAGATAAATATAAAGAAAATAACATGATTTGACTGCACTTTCTCCTTTATTGGAACTGTCCTCTGAACAAAGGATACTATAGATACACTATAATGGTGACAAGTTAAACATCAACATATAGTAATTACTGCAATAATAATATTTACATTTGTTTTAATTAATTAAATACTAAAAATCCAGATGAACAGGAGAAACTTCACTCAAATGAGTGACATACAGAGAATGAAAGAAAAAAGCTTCTCAGAAAAACCTGAGTCTGGTCTGTCCATCATTCCTGCCTGGAACTCGTTCGCAAAGCAGTTTTCCTCTCTTAGAGTGCTGAAGTGCTGAAAATAAACACAGACACACACTAATGGAGCAAAACCATCCTATCCTCTGCACAAAAATTCAATTCCATTCAAAAAGTGAACAATTTGTCATCATTTGTATGTTTATTTAAGGACTTTCTTCTGTTGAACACAAATATCAAAAGATGGAGTTTTATATTATATTTAGAGAATATGGTTAACAAGTGCATGAGCTAATTCACAATAACAGACTTATGTATTTACAAAGAGAGGTCAATACACCCTTAATCTTTTTCATATTCACAAAATAAGATACACAAATGCACCACCAAATTTATAATCACATGGAAAATGTGAAAAATGGAAACGCCCAAATTATGGGAAACATTCAACATTTTCTCAATTTCGTGAAAATGAATTAGGCTGTGCATTTGTGAATATATATAATATAATATATATATATATATATATATATATATATATATATATATATATATATATATATATATATATATATATATATATATATACACAAATATATAAATGCAAATAACTTGTGCATTTGTATATCAGATCTTATTAGTTGAGATGTTTTAGCTCCTTAGATTCAATTGTACATTACATTACTGGATTGTTAGTATTTTTTGGATATATACACATGCATATTTTTACTTAAGAAAAATGTGTAAAAAAATAAGCCCATACCTGCTCTTTAAGCTTTATTTAATTCTGATAGTCTACAGAACAAAGCATCGTTAAACAATCCCTTGCCTAATTACCCTTACCTGCCTATTTAACCCAATTAACCAAGTTAAGCCTTTAATTGTCACTTTAAGCTGTATAGAAGTGTCTTGAAAAATATCTAGTCAAATATTATTTACTGTCATCATGACAAAGATGAAATAAATCAGTTATTAGAAATGAGTTATTAAAACCATTATGTTTAGAAATGTGTTGAAAAAATCTGCTCTCTGTTAAACAGAAATTGGGGAAAAATAAACAGGGGGGGGGGCAAATAATTGAGACTTCAACTGTAAATATATATATATATATATATATATATATATATATATATATATATATATATATATATATATATATATATATATATATATATAAAATATACACATTAAATTTGTGTTTATAAAGAGAGAGAGCGAGAGAAAACAAATCACATTAAAATGTCAGAAAGAGCTTTTTCAGACCAAGATAAGAATAGAATTTTGAAAAATGTGAAAATAAGTTGTTGTATATAGCAGAGTTAATAATAGTACAAAAATGCATACAATTCAACCCCCTCTCCAAAAAACAAAACACAAAAATATTTATTTAAAAAGTCATTTTGTGCCAAAATGTGCCTTTTTTCACATTTTTGTTGAGTAAAAACAATTTCTTTGATTTAAACATTTTTAAACATTATAATTTTAATAACTAATTTCTGCACTAATTTCTATTAAAAAAATCCTTTGTTTGTATTTGCTTATTTTTACTCATTTTTGTTCATTAGTAGGGGTGTGACAAGATCTCGTTGACAAGATCTCACCAGATTAAACCATGACGAGATTTCTCGCCAAGGTAAAAAGTTGTCTCATGAGTTGTGACGTTATGATGGAGCGTGAGGCTGAATAGTATTGAAGATTGGAGGCTGGATTTGATTTAAACTGTAAAGTGTCAAGTGCTTTACTACTGTAAAGTGTCAAGTGCCCGGCAACCCAGGGTAGGCTGTTGCACATGTCACTCTGTTGGATGGGCGGCTGTGACGCTTTTTTTTTATTTTTATTTACCAGAGTTCAGTGAATTCAGTGAATTTTAAGTACAATTTGTGGAAAGAAGTTCGATTTCTCATGTAAAACTGTACAGGGCATGTCCTTTACTGCATAGAATTCATTAAAACAGAAATAAAATACTTTTTTTTTTGTAAAAAGCACCAAAATGTTGTGGTTTGTAATTTTTTTTCTATTCCCATTCATATATCAGCAAATATTATGCTAATTTTTAAAATTCTACATAAAAAGACTATTTTCCATTCACGTAGGCTTTTAGTAAATTATTTTTGCAGCATTTGCATGTCCTTTACAGCATAAAATCCATTAAAATAGAAGTTAAATAACATTCATTACAAGTTGATTTAAAAAAACAAAAACACCGAAATAGTTTTGCAATTTGTGATTTTGTTTTATTTTTCATTCATATGTTTCATCATGGAAAATTTCTTTAAAATATCGTAAAAATCTCATCTCGTATTGCTCTCGTGACCCCAATCTCATGTCTCGTCTCATCTCGTGGAGTAGGCATCTCGTCACACCCCTTTAATTAGCTTATGTATTAGTGGATTATACATTCAAAATCCATTTTTTTCAATTGTTTTGATCTTGTTTGAAAGATATTTTGTGTTCTGCACAAGAAGGATGGTTATACAGATGAAAATGTCTGTGTGTGTTCATCTGTACCATTGTGAACACCATCTTCTCCTCTTCGCCTCTTCCTCTCCTCTCTGTTCTTGTGGATGGGATGGTTTTCAGGTGAGCTCCAGAGAGTCTGACCCTGTGCTCCAGAGCTGAATCCACACACAGTGTTTCTGCAGCTCAGCACTTCAGGAGTGGGCAGCAGATCCTGGGGAACACGGGCAGATCCTGGTGCAACAGCTCGGCCTGGCAGGAGATTTGGGTTTTGAAAGAATTCTTCACCCAGTGGCTGCCAGACGCTCGCTGTAGCTGAACCTTGACTGAACTGACTCTGAGTTAACGAGTTGTATGAGAGAGCTGGGTCTGGAAAAAAGTTGTATTTTCTACATGTTTCCTCTTCTCTTCGTGTGTCATGACCTGCTAATGAAATAAACAGGGTTCATACACATTTTTACAACTAAAATTAAATGGCTTTTCCATGACATTTCAAGTAAAATTTTCATGACCTAATGTTTCATGTAATGTTTATGTACAGTATACATGGTAAATAACAAGAAAAACAATGCATGTTCAAAGTTATTACAGCATATCATAATACATGCAACAATCTATTTATTGTAAATTAATCTTTATATATACGTAAAATGTATTTAGATAATGCTCACGAAGAGACAGCATGAGTTTGGCCATGGACAGAAAAGAAGTAACGACAACTAACCCATATTTAAGTACACTGAAAAAATGATGTCTGCAAAACTGTTGCAAACAATATATATGGGCTGAATTTAAACAAACAAATTCAATTTAGTTATGTTCAACTTAATTTGTTTGTTTAAATTCAGCTCAAATATATTGTTTACAACCGCTTAACTTAAAAAAATAAATGAGTAAATCCAATGAATCATATTTGAATTTTTTTTTCAGTGTATACAGATATTTGTTTAACTAGTTTCCATAATTTTTCCTTAACTTTGTGTGTTTTTTCAGATATTCCAAAACTGTTCTAGGCCTAAAAAATGCCATGTCAAAATTCCATGACTTTTCCAGGTTTTCTAGGACCGTATGAACCCTGAATAAAGAAAGTACAGTTGAAGTTAAAATTAATATATGCAAATTGTTTTTTCTTTTTCAAATATTTCCAAAAGATGTTTAACAAAGCAAGGAATTTTTAAAAAGTATTTCCTTTAATATTTTTTCTTTTGGAGAAAGTCTCATTTGTTTCATTTGGCTAGAATAAAAGCAGCTTTTCTTTAAAAAAAAAAAAATTTTAATTATCAAAATCAAAATTGTTAGCCCCCTCAAGCAATATTTTTTTCGATTGACTACAGAAAAAACCATCGCTATCCAATGCAGGGTTCAACGCTAAGGATTTTTTTTACTGGCCCAATCGGACCAATGGTTCAGATTTTTACTTGCCCTGCCAATATTTTCACTGGCCCCACCAAAAAAAATTAATAGCTATTTCTTAGCCATAAATAAAAAAAGTGTCAAAATGTTTGTAAATATAGAATTTAAAATTTTTTTTTTTTAATCATAAATGTGTAATGAGCAAAATTCAAAGTGTTTTGAAACAAAAGATGGCTAAAGACCAGCCAAACTGAAGGCAACCTGTACAAAAGATCACTTAATTTATTTTTGTCGTGGTGTATGTCTGCTTCCAAGACGTTAGAAACAAATGTTTTCCTTTAGCATCATCATTTGATGTTACCGCCATGTTGCTGTCTCTTCCCTGTACTAATAACGTGCTCACAACATCCAATCAGATAAGAAGTACTGAGAAGCATTTGAAGGCTTGAAAATATGAACTGTTTCTCAATTCTAAAACTGTATTTGCACGCAAATGGCAAATAGTCACAGGCAAATTAAACTTTAGTAACAAGACAGCAGTGGCCTGATCAGGCCAGTAACGATCCTGTCTACTGTCCCGAGCATCTCACACGCTGGCACCGGGCCATCGGGCAGTCCTTATTGTTGAGCCCTGCAATGACTTGCCTAATTAACCTAGTTACGCCTTTAAATGTCACTTTAATACTAGTATCTTGAAAAATATCAAGTAAAATATTATGAATTGTCATCATGGCAAAGATAAAATCAATCAGTTATTAGAAATGAGTTATTAAAACTATTATGATTAGAAATGTGTTTGAAAAAAAATCTTTACATTAGACTGAAATGTGGAGATAAAATATACAGGGGGACTAATAATTCTGACTTCAACTGTATGTAGGATGTCACAATGCAATATCATTACAGTAATGGAATGTCCCTGGAAGCATAAGAGAACTAACATATAGACCTTTATCTTGGCTGTTTTCCAGTAGAATGCTTAGAACTTCCGTTTACCGCGTTTACAACAGGTAATTTGCGATCTGAAAATGGGTTTCAATAGCGTTTCGTTTTGAGTGGATTACGGAGTGTTTTTGTGACACACAACTTTAAAAGGAGTGTGTTAAAGCTGTTATAATCTGTCAGATGTGGTTCAAGCGCGCCTAACGCCACCTTTCTTCACTTTATGACACTTATTAAATCAGTGTGTTAGTGGGACAGTACAGGCTACGTGTGTGTGTGTGTCAAACATTTTAGTGAATTACATTTGCTTCACTGGTTATATATTTGAAACAAAGAGAAAATGATCATTTTAGCGATGACGAGGCTTCATTTAAACTGCAGAAGATGCCGGCTGACAATGAGGGGAAAGTGCCATACAGCAGCTGTTTTCCATCCTATTAGATGACCTTTCTTAAACAATCAGTCCAGCAGGTGGCGCTGATCAACAGCAGTATGAGTTCAAAGACGTTAATAGCAGGTAAAATAGATTAAAACTATCGTTTCAAAGCGGTCCAAACGTGACTGTGTATATCAGGGGTGTCCAAACTTTTTGGGCCGAGGGCCAGATGCAAAAAAACAAACGTTGTCGCGGGCCAAATTTTACATACATCACACAGACACGTGTATATATATATATATATATATATATATATATATATATATATATAAATACAGTTGAAGTCAGAATTGTTAGCCCCCCTAAATTATTAGCCCACGTTTATTTTTTCCCCAATTTCTGTTTAACGGAGAGAAGTTTTTTTTTCCACACATTTCTAAACATAATAGTTTTAGTAACTCATTTCTAATAACTGATTTATTTTATCTTTGCCATGATGACAGTAAATAATATTTGACTAGATATTTTTAAGACACTTCTATACAGCTTAAAGTGACATTTAAAGGCTTAACTAGGATAATCAAGTTAACTAGTTAAGTTAAGGTAATTAGGCAAGTTATTTTATAACAATGGTTTGTTCTGAAGACTTAAGGGGCTAATAATTTTGACCTTAAAATGGTTCATAAAAAAATTTAAACCGCTTTTTATTCTAGCCGAAATAAAACAAAAGTCTTTCTCCAAAAGAAAAAATATTATCAGACATACGGTAAAAATGTCCTTGCTCTGTTAAGCATCATTTGGGAAATAGATAGATAGATAGATAGATAGATAGATAGATAGATAGATAGATAGATAGATAGATAGATAATAACAAGAACTGCTGCTTAATTGAAGGCATGTAATAGCGACACTCGGTGGTTATTTATTGAATTACGTTCATTTTTGTATAGCGAGCCAGATTCTATTGATATTTATAAAAAGCCTCGCGGGCCGCCACAAAACTGATTGCGGGCCGCAGATGGCCCGCGGGCCGTAGTTTGGACACGCCTGGTGTATATGCATCAGCTGCTGACCGGAAGTTCTTAACATTCTCCTTGCGCATACAGGCAAAGCATAATGGGTAATTTTGCGATCTAAGAAAAAGGTCTTTACAATCTGTTCTAAAAACAACAAATGAACTGGCTTATAACACATCAGACGTGTCATCAGGTAATGTTTTCCACTCTCTCTCTCTGTTGGTAAGGTGCTGTCAACAAATAATTTTCCTCCATATCCCATAATGCACAGAGCATCGGCCTACGGCAGCTGGATCAGTCCAAAAGGCGCAGTACTTTTTGCGGTTGGGCCTGTTTTAGTACGGATCATATTCTCACCATAAACGAACCGCTCCAGGATTCGTTTGAAAGCATACCGAGACCACCTCTTCAAGCAGGTCTCGGTACTCTTATTTGGTCCGCTTTTGTTGCGCACTCGAGTACGATAGCTGCATTCTCACCTGCCCAAACGAACCGCACCAAAAGGGAAAACGAACTAGTGCGATTCAATCAAACTAAAAAAGGCAGGTGTAAAAGCACCCTTATTAGCATGTAGTATCTACCCCTTAACCTATCCTATTACCACTTGTGCCTGCCATCTTAATGATTTGTTGCAATTTGTTTTACATTACTTAAGCAACGACATCTTTTGTCATTTTGAGCATTATAAACTCCAGATGATGGATCATGAAGCCCAAAGTATCTTCTTTCCAAAAATACATGAACTGTGAATGTAGATCCATTTATTCAGACACTGTTATTGTTTTGGTGGTCATTTTTGAGAAAGTGCCTCTGTTGGTGAGGGAAAGAAGGACACCGATATAGTCTCAGGGTGCTTTTACAACTGTGAATTGATTAATTTGTTTCCGAAACAGGGATTAAAATAGTTGCAATGTTGCTGTTTGTTCTTGGAGCGGTTCACTTTCACATGGCAAAGTTTCTAAACAGACTAAAATAGCTAAAATAAGTCATGTGCACATTTTAGAGCACCTCACAGGATCTTTAAATACTGACCGATGAACTCTGCAAACTGGCTAGATGGGGTCCTATCCTCCAGATCTGCCTGAGGTTCATCAACACCCTGTCCAGTCCAGAGAGGCGGATGATGAGGGTCAGCTGGGCTGTTTATAAATGAGAACAGCGAATTCTCTCTCTTTTTCTCTGCCTTTTTGACTCTGGATTTAGCTGTTATTTCACTGAAGAGCTGCAGAATAAAGAGAGTGTAAAAATGGTGCTTTAGTACATTGAGAACATCACCAAAACATTTCATTACAACAACAATCTTATAATCATTACAGTTCAATTTATACAATACATGATTCAGTTATTCATTCATTCATTCATTTTCCTTCAGCTTATCAGGGGTCACCACCGAGGAATGAACCGCCAACTATTCCAGCAGATGTTTCACGCAGTGGATGCTCTTACAGCCACAACCCAGTACTGGGAAACACCCATACACTCTCATTCACACATGCATTCATACACTATAGCCAATTTTGGTAACCCAATTCACCTATAGCGCATGTTTTTGAACTGTGGGGGAAACCAGAGCACCGGAGGAAAACCCACATGCAGTTATTACAATATTAAAAAAAGAAAACATGTCAGAAAGCTTGCAAACATGTAAAACAATAAAATATTAATTATTTTAATAATAGTTCTTAATAATAGTTAATTATAATTCTAAAATAATATATATAATTTATATATTAATAATAGTTAATTATAATTCTATAATAATACACATAATTTATATATTACTAATAGTTCTGGCCACAAATATTGACGCTAGTAAAACTATTTTTATTATATAATGAGCTCAATATTTTGTTCCATTTTGAGAAAGCTTGCAAACATGTAAAACAATAAAATATTAATTATTTTAATAATACTTCTTAATAATAGTTAATTATAATTCTATAATAATATACAAAATTTATATATTACTAATAGTTCTGGCCACAAATATTGACGCTAGTAAAACTATTTTTATTATATAATGAGCTCAATATTTTATTCCGTTTTGAGAAAATTATTACATTATGAAAATTTCATTACAATATTAGTTTTTACATTACATGCTTGTTATAATCACTACATAGCACCTTAATGACTCTGTGAAGGATGTGCGGGAACATTTCCTGGAGCTCAGAGAACGAAGCTCCCAGCAGCCACTGCAGCGATGGAGCTTTCCTCAGCATCAGTTGAGCAACCAGAGGATTAATGCAGGGGAACTGCAGCAGGCAATGCTCTGCCTAAAACATACACACAGTAATGCATCAGTGAGCTATGCACAGAATGTTACTTGTTTGTATTTTTTTGTTTATTTATTGCCACATTAGCCACTTATGGCCAGAGAAGAAATTAAAATGGTCGTGCCCAACTGAGTCTGGTTTCTCTCAAGGTTTTTTTCTTCACTCTCCTAACTGTGAAGTTTTTTTTTTTCCCTCTCCGCTGTCACGGATCACTTGACTGGCCCTGGCCCGGTTTGGAGAGGTGGGCCTGAGCGCGGTTCACTTGGGCTTTGGCACGGTACACTTGTAGTATGAGTGCAAAACGCGCCAAAGCCCGAAATAAGAAAGCAAGACGTGACTTTTAGGGACTGTTTCATATGGATTTATTAATCAATCTTACTGTTCAATGAACGCAAACAGCCGTAGTTTATAAAAGATGCAAACTCCTCACAGCACGACAGCTGCGCGCCTTCAGCAGACCTCCTCATTCCTGCAGCACGAGAACTTTATGATTGCTCATGAGCGCCAAAAGTGGCGGATCTGTTCGGCGAAATATCTGACTGCGTGTCACCGCATCCCTAAGGACTGTTTGGCGAAATATTTGACTGCATGTCACTACATATCAAACGACTGAAACGATATAACTAGAGAAATCTCCTCTGTGCTGCTGAGTGAGAGAGCGCTTCTCACTGAACAGCGCAGCATCGATGACGTAAGCGTGCTGAGGCCCGATTATAGTGTGAGCGCGGGCCGTCGGGGGAGACGGGAGGGGGGACAAGCGTGCTTTGGCCCGGTTCGAGGCAACTGTACCTAGTATGAGTACGGCCTCAGTAACGACTTTAAACCACACTGAACTGAGCTAAACTGAACTGAACTTAAACACTAAAAATTGAACTACTCTGATCCAGTTACTATGACCATTTAAGTGAAGATGCTTTGACACAATCTACATTGTAAATACGCTATACAAATAAAGCTGAATTGAATTGAATTATGGCTATAAATAAAATGAGAGAATAATCAAATTTGTTCATTCATTCTCTTTCCTTTGGCTTAATCCCATATTTATTAAGGGTCACCACAGCTGAATGAACTGTTAACTAGTCCAGCATATGTTTTACACAGCGGATGCCCTTCCAGTCGCAACCTAGAACTGGGAAACACTGTAAATTTTACATTAAAAACATTTAATATGATTTTTACTTTAATATGTTATCGAACTCTTATTAACCATAAGCTGTGTCTAATCTCTAGATATTAAAGGAAATCTGGTGATGTTGATAGTTAATAAAAATATGAAAGAAATTTGATTTACTAGTGCATGGTTTCCACTACATTCATTCCTCCATGGCGGGGCGCCACACCCAAAATTCATCCCTCCCACGGCTACATTACAGCTTCTCATTCAAAACATTCAGTCGTTTTTTATTAAATATAATTTAAATAAATGTAAGTGATTTATAACAGCGCAAACTGTCCTGTATTTAAAGTAGTGCTGTGTGTTATTTGTTTAACCCTTTACGGCAGGGGTCACCAAACTTGTTCCTGGAGGGCCGGTGTCCAGCAGATTTTAGCTCCAACCCTAATCAAACACACCTGAACAAGCTAATCAAGGTATTAATAGGCATACTTGAAACACACAGACATGTGTTTTGAGGCAAGTTGGAGCTAAACCCTGCAGGGACACCGGCCCTCCTGGACCGAGATTGGTGAACCCTGCTTTAAGGTGACATGCTGACTGACTGACTGCCTGACTGACTGACTGACGCAATGAGTGAGGCCAGCAAACACGATGTAGCTTTCAGGTATGATGAACACCGTTTCCATAATTATACTTTATATATATAAGTCTTTGGCTCTGCATACAATGACTTTATCTTGCTGGAGTTTATGGCCGCTTCACCTAGTTTCAGGATGCATTAATGCCGCTCTGTATGTCTATTAGAGACATTCATAAATATTCATAGCAAATCTAATAAACGTTGGAGACATACTTGTTACATAAGCGCACTAAATCACACTTCAGCAGCGTTTATTCGAGAGCGCACAAGAAGATCTGCGCTTGAGCAGCATATATTTGAGAGCGTGCAAGAAGTTTTGTGCACGAACAGAGAAAATCGGCGCGCAAGCAAAGAGATTAGCATGCTTGTATTACATAGATGCTATCTCGACTTGTAATACTGCGCTCACAACATTTGACATTGAAATGCCGCCACAGGTAGTTGGTAGATCTGTGTTAAAGACCCAGCAGATTCTGCTGCCACAGCTGGTTAAAATCCTAGAGGAAACATTGTAGTGCTTCTATCCTTACTTTAGTTTTTTTGTTTATTGCCACATTAGCAACTTATGGCTATTTCATATCAAGGTTAATACAATAATTAATATATTTTTGTTAAATAATTAATAAAAATTACATAATAACATTGACAATTACATCATATTGAATTCATACATCAATAAGAGATAATACAAAAATACTTCAAATGTTACATAAAAAATATTTAATATGATTTTCACTTTGAAATGTCATTGAACTGAACTGTTTCCAATCTCCAGGTATTGATGAAAATCTGGTGATGTTGATAGTTGTTGCATGTAAAATCAAGAAAGAAAATATTTGTGCTGGAGTCACTACGCTAGCTACTAATCAGACATACTTAAAATAAGGTAAATTAGCAAAAAAAAACAACAACTCAGTTTTATGTTATAATTTAGGTTTTATTTTTTTTAAAAATTAGCAATGACATAAGATATACTGTAAGGGTAACAGTTTAAACTAATGATCGATTAGTTAATGTTATGTTTAATGATATATCGTCTTAAAGGAAAAGGAGGAGGCGTTGGTATAATATATAGTAATATTGTTAGTGTCATTCAGCGATCTGATTTTAAATATAATTCATTTGAATTAATAGTGTTGTATATTTCAGTGTGCAATACAAACAAGAAATGTTCTACCTAAATTTATATTGCCAATTGTATGTTTGAGAGGGGTCTGGTGCAGATGCAATCTGAGCTGCATGCAATGCTTTTTAATGGGGTCACCTATTTATAACCCCACCCCTAACCCCGCCCCTCACAGTGACATACCTAGCTCCATTGAGTACATTCGGTCTGACACTGCATCACTGAGAGATACAATCTCAGCTTGCATCATAAAGGCAGCATGCAGATACTATTGGTGTGTAGGCCTCCAGGGCACCATACCAACTTAACAAAAGAGTTTGCGGATTTCTTATGTGAAACAGTTTTGGCCACAGATAACGTTTTAGTTATTGGTGATTTAAATATTCATATAGATAATGAAAAAGATGCTTTAAGTTGATATTTTAAGTGTTGGCTTCATCGAACATGGACTTTCAGCATGCTCTGGGGCAGTTTGCTGCCGAGTATGATGCGGCTGCGATGAGAATTAGCACCTCCAAGTCAGAGGCCATGGTGCTCCACCGGAAAAAGGTGGTTTGCCATCTCCAGGTTGGAGAAAAGTCCTTATCCCAGGTGGAAGAGTTCAAGTCTTGGGGTTTGGTTCATGAGTGAGGGAAGAATGAAAAGTGAGATTGACAGGCAGATTGATGCAGTCAATGTACCGTTTCATTGTGGTATAGAAGAAGCTGTACCGAAGGACAAAGCTCTGATTTATCGTTCAATCTACGTTCCTACTCTCACCTAAGGTCATGAGCTTTGGGTCATGACCGAAAGGACAAGATCTCGAATACAAGCAGCCGAAATGAGTTTCCTTTCTCAGGGTGGCAGGGCGCACCCTTCTAGATAGGGTGAGGAGCTCTGTCACCCTGGAGGAGCTCGGAGTAGAGCTGTTGCTCCTCCACATCGTAAGAAGTAAGCTGAGGTGTCTCGGGCATCTTGGATGCCTCCTGGATGCCTACCTAGGGAAGTGTTCCAGGCATGTCTCACCAGAAGGAGGCCTTGTGGAAGACACTGGAGGGAATATGTCTCTCGGCTGGCCTAAGAACTCCTCAGGATCCAACCGGAGGAGCAGGAGGAAGTGTCTGGGGAGAGGGAAGTCTGGGGTTCTCTCCTAAGACTGCTGCTCCTGTGACCCGGCCCCGGAAAAGCATTCAAAAATGAATGAATGCTTTAAGTTAGGCCTTTTTTGACATACTAGCCTCTGTTTACAGTGAAACAGCAAGTCTCAGGGCCTACTCACCAGCATAATCATACCTTGGACCTAATATCATCACATGGTATTGATATTGATATTGATAATGTTGAAGTTTTGAGGCAGTGATGACATTTCAGATCACTACCTAAACTTTAAGTACTGATAAGTGACTAAAAGTCAATTTTGATTAAGCAAAACACTAACATGAATTGTGCTAGGAATATTTCAGGCCTGTTATTCACCTCTGTGGGCTGCACACTGAGCCAGTCTCTATCGAGCCAGCTCAGTACATCTCTCTTTGAAGTCATCAGTGTCTGTAAGCAGATCTGATAGATATAGCTGGCTATTTCCTCTTCCTCGCACACCAGTAATACCTAAAACACACAAGATCAGCTAATACACACACCACAGAATGCAAAAAAAAAGAAAGATAGAGCATAAAATCAATGTCAAACCAGGTCTTGGCATAACCTTTAAAAATTGACATGTTTTGAGGTTTATAAATAAATATTACCAAATAAGAAAAGGAGGGGAAAATACCTTGACGGTAAACTTTTCAGAGTTGTTTCCAAACATTACACATGCAGAGTAGATGTGGATCAGATTGATATAGATGTTACTGGAAAACCTTTAAAGCACACAAGAGGAAAAACAAGTAATAACACATCTTTCCATTTGCTGGAAGAAATAAAGCTAGGCTACATACAGTAAAAGCTATAAACTAGACTAAAGTTGCTGCTTTCATGGCAAGAAGTTTGTCTTCGGGTTTTTATAAATAGCTTTGTCTAAAAACAGCATTTACATTTTGTGTGTGTTGGTGACATATTAAGAATTTCATAAATGTGTATAATGTCATGGGTTGGCCCACACAGAATCTGCACGCGCAGAATTCCTCAGATTTTTAGCCCATCATTGATTCTGTTAATTTACTTGTGTAAATGTGTGTCAATTTATATTTATTCAGTTTTTTTTTAATTAAAATTAATTTCAGTGATATTATTTTCTAATATGAAAATATTTATATGATTTATTTACAATATAGTTTGTAAAGTAATATTTTATGTCTTTTAGTAGATATAGTATTTGAGAGACTTGCTTTGTTTACCAAATAAAGTTAATCTAATTGGATTTGCATTGTAAACAATAAATATAAGTTAAAAAGGTTTTTTTATTTTTTTATTTTATATATTAAGGTTTAGTTATGACACTGCCAAAATCATTCCTTATAAATCCGCAGATTTTTAAGTAAACCCTTTGCAGAAACAGCAAAAATTGTCCGCAGATTCTGTCTGGCCCTAGTCATGGGTATAACACAGATATTACAAAAAGGTGAATTATGAGGACATTCCTGATGTCCCCAGTTTTTCAAAAGGCTTACAAACCATAGAGAAAATACAGTTTGTACAGTATAAAACAATGGAAATGTACAGGATGTCTCCACAACCCACAAAAAACAAACCTACACTCACCAGCCACTTTATTAGGTACACCTTACTAGTACCGGGTTGGTACTACTACCCCTTTTTGCTTTAATCTTTCGTAGCATAGACTCAACAAGGTACTGGAAATATTCCTCAGAGATTTTGCTCCATATTGACATGATAGCATCACACAGTTGCTCCAGATTTGTCGGCTGCACATCCATGATGCGAATCTCCCATTCCACCACATCCCAAAGGTGCTCTACTGGATTGAGATCTGGTGACTGTGGAGGCCATTTGAGTACAGTGAACTCATTGTCATGTGCAAGAAACCAGTCTGAGATGACATGGCACATTATCCTGCTGAAAGTAGCCATCAGAAGATGGGTACACTGTGGTCATAAAGGGATGGGCATGGTCAGCAACAATACTTAGGTAGCCTGTGGCGTTTACACAATGCTCAATTGGTACTAATGTGCCCAAAGTGTGCCAAGAAAATATCCCCCACACCATTACACCTCCACCAACAGCCTGAACCGTTGATACAAGACAGGATGGATCCATGATTTCATGTTGTTGACATCAAAATCTGACCCTAACATCTGAATGTTGCAGCAGAAATCGAGACTCATCAGTCCAGGCAATGTTTCTCCAATCTTCTATTGTCCAATTTTGGTGAGTCTGTGTGAATTGCAGCTTCTGTGTCCTGTTCTTAGCTGACAGGAGTGGCCCTGGTGTGGTCTTCTGCTGCTGTAGCCCATCTGCCTCAAGTTTGGATGTGTTCTGTGTTCAGAGATGCTCCTCTGCAAACCTCTGTTCTAACGAGTGCTTATTTGAGTTACTGTTGCCTTTCTGTCTGGCCATTCTCCTCTGACCTCTGGCATCAACAAGGCATTTGCGCCCGCAGAACTGCCGCTCACTGGATATTTTCTCTTTTTCGGACCATTCTCTGTAAACCCAAGAGATGGTTGTGCGTGAAAATCCCAGTTGATCAGCAGTTTCTGAAATGACCAGCCCGTCTGGCACCAACAACCATGCCACATTCAAAGTCACTTAAATCCCCTTTCTTCCCCATTCTGATGCTGGTTTGAACTGCAGCAGATCATCTAGAGACCATGTCTACATGCCTAAATGCATTGAGTTGCTGCCATGTGATTGGCCGATTAGAAATGTGCATTAAGCAGTCAAAAAGTGGCCGGTGAGTGAGATTCAATCATAACTAATGCTAACACAGCTGTCATAAAAAAAAAATGTATCAACAAGTGGACGTTTTTGGATTCTCAAAAGCTACGGTAATTAAAAATCTAAAACAGGAAATACATTAGGCCCATTGTTATTGTTTACATTTCTTAAAACGGTCTACAAGTACTAGTAAATTGTTATTATCTTAATAAGAGGTAGTTAGTTCATATTGGGAATTGTGATGAAATAAATGTTACTGAATTTTGTCTTCTGAGATCTATAAAAATCTGTCTAACAATAGCATTTATCTTTTGGTGTGTGTGTGAGTGTGTACACTCTTGAGTCATGAGTATAATTCTGAATTATTCATCTGTTATTCGCCAACAGTGGAAAAATTTACACTTAAATCCTGCTGAAATTGAATAGTAACACAATTTAAATGTGCATCAAACTGACAGTGCCCTGTGGTTTTCGGTGCAATGCAGAATGAGCCAGCAGCGGCTGAACTGCAAAGACAGAGCCGAGAGTCTCATGCCGACAAGCTCAGACCCTTCTCCAATTTTCATTTCCAACTCGCTCACCTCCTGAACACACAAAAGGATTAACATGGTAAGGGTCGCTTGCTAAATGGTGATGTGATTAGCATGTTTGTATTATTTTAAAAGTATGTAATTAGGTTTGTATGTCATTGTGTTTTTTGCACTGTTTGGAGCCTACATCTACTGTTTTCACTCATCATGCCTGCTGGTGATGTGACAATAAAAGTGATATGATTTGAAGTGTGTATAGTCTAGAGCAGGGGTGTCAAACTCAATTCCTGGAGGGCCGAAGCCCTGCACAGTTTAGTTCCAAACCTGCTCCAACACACTTTCCTGTAGGTTTCAAACAAGCCTGAAGGACTCAATTAGTTTGATCAGGTGTGTTTAATTAGGGTTGGAACTAAACTGTGCAGAGCTGCGGCTCTTTTGGAACTGAGTTTGACACCTGTGGTCTAAAGCATCACCTGGATGAGGATGGCAGTGTTTTCATCTACAGTGATGACATCATAGCGGTTTCCTCTCAGCCGCAGTGCAGACGGAGAGTGTTTTCTCTCCAGTAGAACCATATCGTACCTGCCGTTAAGAACATTTAATATTGCAAAAAAGATTAACAAGAAAAAAAAGTTACAGTTTATAAATAACACTTTTCTGTGATACATTGACTTATAACATTTAAAAAACACTTTGTTTTAAGATACAATTCTCACTATAACAAACAATCAAATACATAAAAAAATGCTTTAGGTTTTGTCTTGTTTCTAGTCCAAATATCTAAAATTAATTAAAACAAGCATTTTCTACACAATCAAAAAATATTGTCTGGTTCTCTGAAATATCAAGTCAAAATTAAGCGAGTTTTTCCTTAAAGGCGCAGTATGTAACTTTGACAACCAGTGGTTAAACTAGGTATTGCATGCCTGGTTCAAAACGCTCAAGTGCAGGTTGCCAGATTGATAACATCAACAGAAGTGTGCCTTACTATCAAGCCTTAAGGCAGATTTAAGTCGTGCTCTAAAAAAAGCAACCTAAAAGGAATATTTTTTTAATAAATAGAAGCCGGTTCTAATATATACATTTCAGGTGTTGGATTGTCCTAACCAACACCTGAAATTTTTATATTACAACCGGCTTCTATTTTTCACAGGTGAACAACAGGATAAACTGACAGTGATCACCTCAGGTACACCTCATGTTCTTTTTCAGTGTATAATGCAAACAATGTGAGTTTGAATGCTATTTAACATGACATTTGTTGCCATACTGAAAATAACATAAACCTTTTGAAATTGATCTTTAGATCTGTGACTCAGTGCAAACCAACACATATCAGCGAATCAGCATCTACATTTAATAATGTTAAAGAGGTTTAATATGTATTAATTAGATTATAAACCTAACCATTTCGTTGGAGTGCAGTGAGTGCACTATTCTGTGCTTCTGAATGGCTGCATTTAAATTACTGTGGTGTTGTCTGGTGCAAACAGTCAAATTGATTATCACTGCAAATCTCCTCACGTAGTGTGTTGTTTGGACACGGGGTTACAATGTAACCTGCTCACCTAATGTTTACATTCGTAATATTTATATTATTTACTAATGGACTCTTTTCACAAGACTGTTATGATATGTTTAACGCTCATAATCTTAAATCCTTTTTAATATTTTGCTTTAAAAAATTATGAACATTTCTATGTATTTATGTATGTATTATATCATCATTGCGTTAAATTACGAAAAACGAATGACCGTTTATGCGAGGTGTTTGTAATGCAGCGTCTCTGGGGCCGAGAGTAAATCTGACATTATTCTCTCCTCTGCCTGCCGTCCTCAGTCTCACACTATTTTTTTTTCCTTTTTCTAAAAGTCTTGATAACACCATTGTGGAGTTTTTCTTTTATTTTTTCAGCAAATAGGATTGTAAAAAAGTATTTGTTGTACTCTCTCATTCATTGTGCTCTAAGTTTACCCAACTATGATGCCTTCCGCTACTAAGAAACCCGGAAATGTGAAGAGTATATTAGTAACCTCATGTGGAACTCTGAATCTGCGTCTCATTTTGGAGTCTGCTACTGTCCACCCGAGGTCGCATTTTGGTCGCGAACAAATACTTTGAGAGCTTTGCTGACTGAATAAATAAAATATGCAGCTTTCCATCAAGCCAACCCGGGGTGCTGAAATGAAATTGGCTAAACTGGCAGAGGGCGGGTTAAAATATCTAAAACAGAGACCATTTCAAAGAGAATATCTGACTTTAGCATTGTTTTTCAGATAGACAAGAATGTTCACTTAGCATGTTTCTTAAATATCTGCAAATATATTATGGTGTTTTTATGTTTTAGAAGAGTCAAAAACTTACATACAGCACCTTTCAATTTCAAAGTGAAATGAGTTTATTTCCCTTACCATAGTGGCAGATTATTTTACTTGTTCAAAGGAAAAACTCACCTAATTTTGAATTATTATTTCTGAAAACAGGACAATATTTTTTGCTTGTCTACAAAAAAGCTTTTTGATTTAGGAATTTT